AAATTTTCCCTGTGCCTTGTGCTATACGTATGTAAATCCATATTTAGTGGTACTTGATAGTTTTTTTTATGTATCCACAGTAAGGTGTCGAGTATATATACACAAGGTAGTGGGAGAATAATAATAATAATAATAATAATAATAATAATAATAATAATAATAATAATAATAATAATAATAATAATAATAATAATAATAATAATAATAATAATAATAATAATAATAATAATAATAATAATAATAATAATAATAATAATAATAATAATAATAATAATAATAATAATAATAATAATAATAATAATAATAATAATAATAATAATAATAATAATAATAATAATAATAATAATAATAATAATAATAATAATAATAATAATAATAATAATAATAATAATAATAATTAATAATAATAATAATAATAATAATAATAATAATAATAATAATAATAATAATAATAATAATAATAATAATAATAATAATAATAATAATAATAATAATAATAATAATAATAATAATAATAATAATAATAATAATAATAATAATAATAATAATAATAATAATAATAATAATAATAATAATAATAATAATAATAATAATAATAATAATAATAATAATAATAATAATAATAATAATAATAATAATAATAATAATAATAATAATAATAATAATAATAATAATAATAATAATAATAATAATAATAATAATAATAATAATAATAATAATAATAATAATAATAATAATAATAATAATAATAATAATAATAATAATAATAATAATAATAATAATAATAATAATAATAATAATAATAATAATAATAATAATAATAATAATAATAATAATAATAATAATAATAATAATAATAATAATAATAATAATAATAATAATAATAATAATAATAATAATAATAATAATAATAATAATAATAATAATAATAATAATAATAATAATACTCTCCCTAATTCACCACCTTACGAGTGAATTTTAACCCCAAAAGCTGAGCTTTTGTCCGGGGAAAGGGACGGCTATTATTATTATTATTATTATTTGCCGTGGCGCTCCGGGGCGACTTACAGATAATTGATGGTGCCATTTGACTTACAGGTGAGGAAAACCCGGAAAACCTCACCCACCATCATAGAAAACGGTAACGCATGGCGATTTTTAATAATCTGGATGTCAAATCAACAGAAATTAAATTTCTGCTAATACAGCATCCATCAAATCCTATAGAAAACCATGCAAATAAATTCACATGGTCTTCCGTAGGATTCGAAACCGTGTCTCGTTTAGCACAAAACTGGCTCACAAATGAATGCGGTGCCATAGACACCTACACTAATGTACAACGGTTTCATATAAGCAACCAGACATTACTTTATTTATCGTGCGGTTGATGACGTATCCTTCAGTGCAGAAATAATTGTGTTTACATTGCGATTTTGTGTTTTTAATAGTTTTTAGAGAATTTAGAGATTATTTATGCATTTTTAGAGCGAATAAATTTATAAGGTTTGTTCCAACAAGCGCGGAAACGAATACGTTTGGCTTTATTTGGTCTGTTTACATAAATTTAATCAATTGAAAAAAAAAACTATTAGATTTAGCGAGATACATTTTGGATTAAAAAAGTGATACCCCTAAATGTAGACAACACATTATACAATTTTTAAAAAATGAGTCGCGTTTTCTTAGCGTGCTATGGTAATAAACGTCTTATCATTTATATGGTCAATTTTTGTAACAAAATATTATTGTATTCGAACATTTTCTCAACTTTACCCCTACGAATATGTCTGCTAGTAGTGAAAGTGATGAAATTATGAGCACTCCATCGGAGATTTTAGAAAAAGCTCAAGCTGCCACACATAATTTGTTACCGCTAAAATCCAAAAAAGGTACGAAATTACTTATCGAAAATTTATGGATTGGCGACACAAGCATATATTCTTTATTTAATAGAAGAAAATAATAAGTGGGCTTAGAAAAAGTATAGTACGTTACAGTCGTTACAAGAGTTGTAAGTCCATTACGCACTCGTGAAATTTACGCACTCGCTGCTGCGCGGCTTCGTGCGCAAACTTTTTCAGTTCGTGCGTAATAGGTTACTTACAACTCTTATTACGTAATACGTATACTATTACAGCGCATGATCTGTACCGAAATATTATCGTTTTCGCGTTTGTTGGAACAAACTTATAGAAACATCGAATTATTAATATTTTGTGTTTTTCAGCAGTTTTTGAGTGAATAACTTAATAAATAATAAATATAAAAGTAATTAGTATTTGAACATTTGTGTTACTAATTTTTTCTGAAAGATTTGGTAACTTTTCACAATAAAACAGAAAAATATTTTCTAAATCATTGTCTGTTGTTTTAGATTGCAATGTCTGAATATATTTCTGAGTTAAAAAATGAAATTCTTATTTTGAAAAGTTTGCAAATAATACTATAAACTAGCCTATGGAGTATTGAGGGTATTTAAAAAGAAAACTTTAACAGATGACAAAAATTATACGCAAATTAATTTTTTTTTATTGGTGTTTTGTTTTCGACAACTTAGGTCATTATACTTCATAGTGCAGGAGTGCTCTAGTACTCTAATACTCCTGCACCCCTACAGACAGACATTGTTACTGCTTCCCAGCACTACTTTAGGAACAGCACTGTTAATTAGAACCCAACAGTGAATCCAAGTCGACCTAGGTTAGCATATGAAAACATTTTGTTATTATATAGTTTTACAAAAAAGAAACATTAATTGTTCTTTATAAAAATTGGCTGTTTTATTCATTAAACAAAGTAAGTCGAAATTACTTAGAATTAAGTACAATGATATACTTAAAAGAATATTTTTTAATTCCTAATAAAATTTTCAATCACTATTTTGCTATATTATTAAAATTTAAAAGTATTTTACTTCTCGACATAAATAATTATTATTTGTGATTAAATTTCCATGGGTGGCAGCTGATTAATTAAGTATTATTTGTGATTAGTTGATTTTAATACGGTTACACGTTACGTGTCAACAATATCAATCGATTGAGGCTTTGTGAGTTTACATGTTTGTTCAACGCGGTTACACAACGTTACGTGGTCGGGCCGACAACACTGATATTATTCGTTTTCTGCTCGTGCTAATGCTAACTTTCTGTGGTTTTAAAATTGATACATTAATTTTATATAACGTCTTTCAATTTATTAACTATCTTGTATCAATTTTAATTTTGCATAGTTATTTTTTCAATAATTTATTAAGTGAATGGTGGTTTTAATTATTATAAACCATAAAAATGGGTAAGATACTACCATAATTTTGACCAGTATCATATACATGCTCGAAGTACACATACTTTGATTACTATACGGGGAAAGAGAGGTCCGACACGCCCAACATAGGGCGCGGCCATTTTGAACCCTATGACACAGTTTATAGCTAAAGAATCAGATCGCTCACTCTGCGTCGGTACTTTTAACTCAATGTTCCAGTTTATACACTGCGCAACTCAGATAATACAATATATGACAACCGCCTATAATAAAACAGCAGTCTTCTGCGTATCCTGAATTTGTATCCCTGGAGTGGATGTTATTTTGGAACTTTCAACTGGTCCGAGTGAGCTAAGTGATTCTTTAGCACATACTTTGATTACTATACGAGGCAAGAGAGAGGTCCGACACGTCCAACATAGGGCGCGGCCATTTTGAACCCTGTAACACAGTTTACAGCTAAAGAATCAGATCGCTCACTCTGCGTTGGCACTTTTGATCTCAATGTTTCAGTTTATACACTGTGCAACTCGGATAATACAATATATGACAACCGCCTATAATAAAACAGCAGTCTTCTGCGTATCCTGAATTTGTATCCCTGGAGTGGATGTTATTTTGGAACTTTCAACTGCTCCGAGTGAGCTAACTGATTCTTTAGCAATAAACTGTGACTTCAAAAATAATATTCACTGACACTGACAGCAGCAAGCAAAATATCAGGTGCGTTTTAATCATCCGCTTCTGCTTCCGGAATTGTCGGTTTAGTCGTTCTAACCTGTTAAATTAAAACAAGAAAACCGACAATTCCGAAGCAGAAGCGGATGATTAAAACGCACCTATTAAAAATATTGCGCCAAGATGTAGGCAACACGTAATAAGGGTTCAAAATGGCGGAGTTTTCTATCTCCTTTTAAAAGGCACTCAGAAAGCTGCGCAGTGCGACCATTCTCCGTATAGTAAAAGAAAATCAAAGTATGTGTTCTTTAGCAATAAACTGTGACTCCAAAAATAATATTCACTGACACTGACAGCAGCAAGCAAAATATCAGGTGCGTTTTAATCATACCACATACTTTGATTTTCTTTTACTATACGGAGAATGGTCGCACTGCGCAGCTTTCTGAGTGCCTTTTAAAAGGAGATAGAAAAGTCCGCCATTTTGAACCCTTATTACGTGTTGCCTACATCTTGGCGCAATATTTTTAATAGGTGCGTTTTAATCATCCGCTTCTGCTTCGGAATTGTCGGTTTTCTTGTTTTAATCTGACAGGTTAGAACGACTGAACCGACAATTCCGGAAGCAGAAGCGGATGATTAAAACGCACCTGATATTTTGCTTGCTGCTGTCAGTGTCAGTCACATACTTTGGTGTCAGTGAATATTATTTTTGGAGTCACAGTTTATTGCTAAAGAATCAGTTAGCTCACTCGGACCAGATGAAAGTTACAAAATAACATCCAATCCAGGGATACAAATTCAGGATACGCAGAAGACTGCTGTTTTATTATAGGCGGTTGTCATATATTGTATTATCTGAGTTGCGCAGTGTATAAACTGGAACATTGAGATAAAAAGTGCCGACGCAGAGTGAGCGATCTGATTCTTTAGCTATAAACTGTGTCATAGGGTTCAAAATGGCCGCGCCCTATGTTGGGCGTGTCGGACCTCTCTCTTACCCCGTATAGTAATCAAAGTATGTGGATCATACCCATATTTGTATCCGAGTGTCTTGGCAACACTGCTGGAGTACGTGTATTTTATTGACACATGACAGATGTCTATGTCGTTTCGTGTTGTTAGACAGTGACGTTTACCAAATTTTATTTTTATTGACCAGTTGACCATATTCCAAATAAAAAAAAATTAATAATGTCGCAAACTGTACCCTTAATTCTCGAAGAAGATGTTGAACAAGGTGGCAAGGAGTACGAAGAAGGCCTGGAAGACGATTTCGCCTATCGTAACAATGTTACAAATGCGCCAAAGAGCATTCGATTGGGATTTATCCGCAAAGTTTATGGCTTGTTGTCGATGCAAATATTATTGACTTTTGTTATAGCCAGCATATGTATGTTTACACCACCGATTAAGGATTTTGTTCACAATAACGATTGGATGATGATGTTATCGTTCATTGCAAGTATTGCCATATTAATTCCTCTACACATAAAACGAAAAGAATCACCTGCAAACCTTATACTTCTAGCTGCTTTTACTGTTGTTCAGGGCTATACAGTTGGAGTAATAGTCACATTTTATTCACAAGCAATTGTATTACAAGCCCTATTGTTAACTTTGATTGTTTTGGCTGGTTTAACTTTATTTACATTCCAAACAAAACGTGATTACTCTGCTATGCATTCTGGATTGTTTGCTGGTCTTTGCATTCTTATTGTTGGAGGATTTATGCAAGTATTTTTACAATCTTCAGTATTCGAGATTGCAATATCATTTGGAGGAGCATTATTATTCTGTCTTTTTATTGTATTTGACACTCAAATGATCATGAAAACCTTATCACCAGAAGAATACATTTTAGCTACTATTAACTTGTATATGGATATTATTAATTTGTTTATATATATATTACGTATACTTCAGGCTCTAAATAGGCAGTAAAACTAAAAAGAGCTTGATTTTGAAGACTATTAAAGTAAAGCAATTATTGCAGTGTGAAATAAAAATGTCTTCAAAATTTTTGTTTTTAATAAGCATATTTGGGAAATTATAATTTAAAATCACTTAAATATTTATATTTAATAAAATTATGTGCATTTGTTTTTTAGTATTATTACAAGTATTTGTTGTAAATAATTTTTAAAGAGTGAAAATATTTTATGTATAGTTAATAAAATCAGAATTAAAAGTTTTGTTTTTAATTATGAATGGAAAATTACAGAAGTCTTATCTACCTATTAGTACCAGTTTGTTTACCTTAAATACCCATTTTTTATGTATAGATTAGATTACTTAAAAATTATGTAAAGTATTTGTTATTGTAGTTTGAAATGTTTGACTGTCCAAAAAATAACTAAAGGATACTCGGCAATTGAATTGAAAATAACTATCAAATGGTAAATATATATTATACTTAAATAACAGAAAATAAAATATGAAATAAATTAAAAATATTTTCAAGTAAACAGCTTGCTGTATCTTCCCTTATCTTTGGAATTGTGCTCTTTAACTAGTTGTTCCAGGTTCAAAAGTTCCTTTTTTACAAGAGGTATTAGAGAGTCATCGATTTCCATGACCCTTTCAAAATCCCTTTTTGCTTCAGCTGGGTTCCAAGCACCTACATGCGCTTTTGCTCGACGAAAATAAGCTTTAACATTATCTAAAAATATATTAATTTCATTTGGCATATTTTCCCCTGAATATTTACTTACCTTTGTCTGATTTTAAAATGTTTGTGCAATGTTCGATGACTGCATAATAGTCTCCTTCATTTAATTTGCATTGGGCATAATTTAATAGTATGGGAACTTTTTGTTCATCCATTTGATTCCATTCAACATCATGTGGTTTTTCTCTAAAATAAAAGTGAAGATAAAAATAATTTATCTAAAAAAGAAAGAACATACCTAAGCATTAATTGTTCTAAAATGCCTAAAGCCTTTGCATACAGATCTGAAGCCTTTTTGTAATTTTTGGCTTTATATTCATTGTTCCCTTGTTCTTTTAATTTTGGAACCAATTCAATTTTTTCAGTTTCGCCCATTTGCCATGTATCCTTCTCATATGAATCTGGTTGTTCAACTTTAACAAGTTCTAAAAAGAAACATGCAAATATTAAGAGATCCATATGGGCAGTATTTTGCACACTAACCTAACAAAAATTCTAAATTTGTAGGATTCTTTAGCCAGTGATTCAGGTCATCATATCCTATACCACTGGTTTGCATAGTCATAGCACAAACATGCCCTGTCCTTTCTTCTTTTGGTTTTTGTAAATCTCTAAGTGTTTTTGATACAAATGGGTACTCTAACACTAGCTGTAAATGAGTTTTTAAAAATGTTATCAATTTTCATCATATCACTTATTCTACAATGAAAATCAAGTTATAAGAAATAATGTTCTTATTTATTAATGAAGAAAGGCTATCCCATGTGGATATTATTTATCCAACTTAACAAATGTTTTTACATATACATAAATTGTTTCTTACACTTTTGTCAACAGTAAATTTGGCTACTTCATTAAGTGCCATTAACTGAACAACAGTTTCCCATACTTCTAGCTTAAATTTTTTCCCTAAAACGAGTTCCATAGGCTTTCCAGTTCCAAGTTTTCTGGAATCGTCCAATAAAGTTTTCTCATTATTACATAGTCTTGTTTGAAAGTGAAAATGGACCTTAAAATATAAAAATTATATAGGTAGGTAAAAATGTTTCATTCAAGCAACTTCTGTATTTTTTTTTTTTTTCAGAGAAATACCTTGGTACCATCCTTAAAAGTAACTGATTTGGTCCCAGCATAAATTACTTCTTTGATAATTAGATTCTCATCAGAAGCCATTAATAAATTAAGGCATTAAATTTTAAACCAACTTTTAAATATTTAATAGACAACCAAATCCAAAAATCAAAAATATTTTTGACAATCGATTCCCGTCACAACTCAAGACAAGCTGACAGCTGCAGTGTTGTTGTCGTCGTGCCGCGACGATTTTTAAAATTGTACTGAAAATTTTTGGAAAACGTACTGAATTGGGATAAATGTACTGAGTATAAAGTTTTTTAGTAGAACCGGTATATCAATATATTATTAGTTCTATTTCTGAGTCACTCATATATTCTATTATGAGAAAAGAGGCTTTATTTATTATCAACAAATTATTTCTTACTGTCCATTATATTCAGAAACACAATAACAATGAACACAAAACTGCGGCGATTACAAATTGCAACTGAACATTGGAGTTAGCGAATTATAGAACGGATAACTAAGGACCGATTCCACCGTTGTGTTAAACGAAGTTTAAACTGACATTTTTGCATTAACAATGTCATTTTAATCTCCGTTTAACACAACGGTGGAATCGGCCCAAAGCATCTGTGCACTAAGGGTCGATTCCATTCCACCAATCTATAGGTTCTTTCGTTCGCTATTGGTGTAATTTCCACCAGTGTAGTTTACACCAGTTACACCAATTTATTTACCCTAATGTACTTCCTCCTTATTCCTTATACACATGTCGAGTGTAATTCACTCCTGCTAAATAGCTGGGGGTCAATTCTCGACTTGTAGGAACCTTTTCCTATAGGAATTTGTGACACTTTCCTATATGTAGGAAAATGTCATAAATTTTCGATGTATGTAAAAATGTCAAAAATTCCTATAGGAAAATATTCCTACGAGTCGAGAATCGACCCCCTGGTGGAGAAAATATCCACCAGTATACACCATATCGCCGACAGGAAGGTATAGTGGGTTTTACACCGGGCCAAACGAAAGGTTTGGTGTAAGTTGGTGTAGTTCATTCCTACACCAGTGGGACGAACGAAAGAACCTTATGATTCCACCATTGTGTTAAACGGAGATTAAAGGCTGTATGTCACGATACTATATTAAGTACTAAACTTAGCACTAAATTAAGTCATTAATTTAGTACTAAATTTAGAACTAAATATTTTTTTCCGTTTGCAACGATACCAATTTTTAGTACTAAATTAACTATAGGCGCACGCGCATTGACGTATTAATACGTGAAATAAGCAGAGAAATGAAATATTCTGGGTAAAATAGACAAGTGAAGTAAATGGTGTTTTTATTATCAATTTGACATGACAACAAACAAAATACATCAATGCTACTATAAACTACGAAAAAAACATAAAATCTACAAAATCAAACAAGCGAACTTTATTCAAGTCGATAATGCAAAATTTTCGCTAATTAAAAACAAAATGGTACAGAAATTACCGTCGTGTCAATTTTTTCTGTGAAAAACTTCTGCGCAACATTTCGACGCACTTTTAGTACTAAATTTAGTAGAAAATAGAACAAGTTCTAATTAATTAATGACTTTTTTTAGTTCTAAATTTGCTGTTTGCAACGTAAATTTTTTTAGTACTTAAAAAATGCATTTAGTTCTAAATTTAGTATCGTGACATACAGCCTTTAAATGACAAATGTAAATATGTCACTTTAAACTTCGTTTAACACAACGGTGGAATCGGTCCTAAGATCCAAATCCACCGCTAGTAGTTAAGAAATAAACAAGGTTAAAAATTAAATTTTTCCATTAAAATGTCATTTTATTATTATTTTATTATTTATTTATTAGTACTCGACCATACTCGACTAGCGATGGAAATGGCTCTAATCAGAATAAACGAACGCTGGAGGGAATGGTATTTGACAGAAAAAGAAAATTCATGCGCGTGCGCGGAATGTACGTAAAGTGTCAAGTTTATTTTGAAAATTCTGATTTAATTATTTTATATTTTTTGGGAACTATATGTCTAATATTTGCTATAAGACTGCTATATTACAATTTAACTGATCACTATTCATAATCACAAACATTTATTGTATTGGAGTTTTATTTTTAATTATTAAAATCAGGGGATGCATATTCCTAACCTATATAGTTCAAATTTTAACGGAAAAATACAAACCAAGTTTCTGTAGTAGCAGGTAGTAGTATTTAATTTTAATTTGGAATTTGGAGAAATAAACATTTGATTAGTAAATATGGAAACGTCAAATAATGGTAGTATTGTAAGCCAACCTTCTACCTGTTTAAAAATGAGAGAAATCGTTGAAATCATAAACGAATATAAAAAGTCTAGAACAGAAAGTAGTGCTCTTCTAATAAATAAGTTTTTACAGGTATTTATGATTATATATTTTACTTACAAATTTTATAATGTATTTTTTAGGCGTATAGTGTTACAATAGATGTGAGCGTTTTTGAGCCAGATACCAATCTTGGTGCTCAGTTTTATGTTAGTTTATATGAATTATTATTTACAAATGTCGATCCACAATCGAAAATGGCATGGAACTGCGTGGATGTACTTTGCAATGCATGTAGAAATAGTTCTGCAAAACAAGCTCTTATAGATACTTATCAGTTTGTACCTATATTATCTCGAATGTTAGGGGATCAATTGGATAATTTGAATAAAAAGAAACTATTGATACTTTTACAGGTTAGATTTTAACATTAATCTTTAATATATTGTTTTAATAATTTTAATGTACTTTTTGCTTGTATATACATATGCATCAAACACTGAATCTATTCAATTTATGTTTAAGGATTTGACTTGCGGAATTAAGATCACATGGCAAGTTTCACATTTACCACATTTGTTTAAAACTCTGACTAAATGGATTGAAGATAAAGATCAGGATATAGTATGCCTTTCTCTCAGTGTTATAGTAAATATTTGTTTCAAAAATATATGTGCTGTGTACACTCTGTCCAGAATCGTTGATATTAAAAAATTTTTGAGGTTTTGTCTAGCGTTGCAGGTGAGTCATTACATTGGAATATCTGTATTGATTGTATTTTCCTAGCTATATATGAAATCGTTAATTTAGGACGGCCAAATTAAAATTTTTATAAAATGAAGTTGGTATTCATTTGTCCACGATTTATGCATGTCATGTTTGTCTAACAAAAATGTTTGTTTGTCCAACCTTAAAAAAAGTTATGACAATTAAAAATTTGAGCCAAATTTAACATCAGCACCGCCTTAAAAACTTTTTATTAATTTAAAATGACATTTGATTGTCCATGATTTGTCTAAGTTTGTCCCACCAAAAGTTTCATTTGTTCACCCTTCAAAACAGGTATTAAAAAAATAAATAAAAAAAAATCTGGGCCTTAGGAACCTCCTTAATAGATTTCATTTGATTTAAATACTGCAATCATCTGTCCATCCTTTATTTTTGTTTGTCCAAGTCTTATTTTCTTTTGTGCTTCCAAAAGAAATTAGTTATAAACATAACAGGACTTCCCAAAATTATGAAATATTTAGTCAGCTAATAGCACAATGTAAGTTTCTATTTAGAGAATGCTATTCAAATTATATATTCTGTCGAAACCTCTGTTAATACTAATTTTAAAGCCTTTTGGAATTTTGTAAATAGTAAAAGAGCAAATAACAGTATTCACTCTGTGCGAAGTTATGGAAAGGGAAGCAAAAGCGATACTAGCGCTGGCTGCGGATAATTCGTGCATTTTAGGGCGATATTTTGTAATTTTGGCATATCAAATACACATATACATTTTACTTTTTTTCAAAAAAAGTAGGTAAAAACAAAGCAATAAGCAACCGGAGTTGCTGTGTTAAAAAAAAGCAGTGAAACTTATATAAAAAATTTCAGTAGCAAAGTGGAAATTAAATCAAAGAAATAAATGGATAGGTGTACAATAAGAAGAAAAATTACCTTTATTTTTGTAACAATAACAGTAATGCTGCAAATAGTAGACATCAGAAACTTGAAAGGTTTTAAATAAACAATAATCATTTAAGGATGTTCTTTAATATCCCTTTATTCTTAAATGTTCATGTGCAAGGACTAGATTTCACGATTTCTGCCTTTGATTGTTATATGTGGCTGGAATGCAATTTTGTGACTTACTGATTGGAAACCAGTTTTAACCATTCATTCTATGTTTTCTTTTGAACAAAAATGAAAATATAAATAACGATCCTTTTTTTATACATTTTAACTTTAAATGGTATTTTTTTATTTTGACAGAATAGTCTTAATTCTTCAATGACAATGTATTAGACTTAGGCAACTTCTCATACATTTTCCAGTAAATACTGTTGCCTGCCTATATTTTATTATTGATTTTTATTGATTATACATAATTTTCTTTAATTTAAGCAATAAAAATATATAATAATAATAAATTAATGTTTTACTTGTTTTACAAATCCATATACTTTTATTAAAACTAACATATATATACTTTTTAATTACGAATTATATTAAAAATTGTATTTGTCAGTATACACAGAAATAGTCCATTAGTACCAAAACGAATTGGCGCTGCTGTCGCGCACGGAGCGAATACAAAATAAAATGAATTTGCATGTTGCGGTAGTGATGTAGCAAATCTGTTTGCAAGGCTTCTTCAATTTACACCACACATATCCTAAATTTAAACGATAACCAAATTGAATCTAAAGTTAATGTTTCGTCATACTACATCCCAATTTCAACCATTTATGATAAATTGTCAAACCTTGATACAAAAAAGGGCCAAGTCCTGACATTATTCCTCCCATTCTACTTAGGAATTGCAGCTATCTTGCCCTCTCTTTCATAATTTCAATAAATATTTCAATATACAAATCGGGTAGCAAATCTGACAAGATATTATCGACCCTTCTCAATTCTCAGCACAATACCTACATCGATCCTGTCTATACTGACTTTTCCAAGACTTTTGACAGGGTTAACTATACTCTTTAACTTGAAAAGCTTAACAAATATGGTCTGGGTGGGGTATTACTCCAATGTATCTTACTAATAGAACTCAAATGGTTAGAGATAATCACCACTATTCTAACTTATTTCAAGTAATCTCAGGTGTTCCTCAGGGGTCAAATCTAGGACCCTTACTATTTAACTTATTTATTATTGATATGATTTACTGTTTCCATAACAGCAAAGCTTTATAATTTGCAGATGACTTAATATTTCCAAATTGTTAAAACCCATGATGATGTCTGTAGACTTTAAGACTATCAGAATGGTGTTTTTTAAGTGGCATGGACTTGAATGCCAAAAAATGCGATATGAGTTTTTATCATTTCCACTTATCTCCAACTACATTTGGCTATAACTTAAATGGGTATATCTTAGACTCTGTTTATCAAATTAAAGACCTTTGAATTATTCTTGCTCCCATTTTAAGTTTTAATCAATACATATGTGCTGCTGTCCACAAATCCATGAAAATGTTGGGTTTAATCAAAATGTTGACCCATGATTTTACTGACACAACAGCAATTAAAGTTCTTTATTGTTCGCTGGTAAGACCCCACCTTGACTATTGTTCTTCCGTTTGGTCTCCACACTATATAACATATAGTAGGAAAATAGACAGTGTTCAGCACAACTTTCTCAGACATATAGTTTTTAAATTGGGTGTCTATTGTGCATATGATTTCATGGAACAGTTTCTGAACATCCCTTCCTTGGAAACTAGATGAAAATAGAGATACCTTACTTTACTATTTAATGTTATAAATAGTTGATCTAATTGTCCTGAACGTCATCAAAAAATAAATCTTCTTGTTCAAATGCGTTCAACTAGGCAACTGCAAACATTTTATGTACCTTTTTGTAGATCAAACCAAGCTTTTGACAGCTGCTTTTCAAGAATGCACAATGATCTCAATCTGCCAAATATTCCCTTTTTCCTCATTCTAAACTCAATTACTTAATACTGAGCTTTATTGCCAATATTGTTCTGTGTATTTTCTTTTTTTTAACCTTCGACTAACCTACTTTGTTATTTTAAATGTTCCTAGTCTGTATGACACCTATTGTCTTTGTTTGTTCTACAGCATCATTATTATTTGTGAAATTTTGATTAATTTTTAAAATTGTAACTTGTAATTGAAATGGGCTTGCCGGTAAATAAATTTATGTATTTATGTTTTATTTACAGATATTAATTTGCTTGCGGTTTATGCAAGTGGTAGTTCAAAGTTCTTCTGTATTACACATTGTATCCAGAAATTTTTAACCAGTTTGTAAAATGGCCATAAAATATTGAAGAGCTGAAAGATATAAGAAAAGTTATTATTTAAATTAATTTTGTAACAATGAAACTAGGTTTTTTATGACGTACGATTTTCCTGGAATTATAGGTTGCATTGATTGCATCCGGTATTTTACCGTCAAAAATTAACGATTTAGTTCATCCTGAACATCTATATATGTGACTAGCTGTTGCTCGCGGCTTCGCAAGCGAGGAGTCGTGTTTTTAGTATAAAAAAATGCATGACTTCCTAAAAAAGACGGGATAATATGTTGTTTTTCTGTTCACGGTATGTTTGTTATAGTATTATAGATTAATGTTAATTAGACTATTCTAATATTTAAATATATTAATCTAATTGATAATCTCATTTTATACCACATTTCTGGTAAGCCTCTCACCTACTAATATCACCAGATTGCACACAGTACTTATTTTTATTTTTTTATTTTTTATCCAAAAACCATGAAACAAATCATTATTTATTTTTGATCAGTAGCTGTATTTCAAATTTTCATGTTTTTAACTTTAAAAAAAAAAAATATATATATACATACTTTCAAATAAATTTTCACCACCCGTTTCCTTAAAATGTGAAAATGCAGAAACCCTGAAAGACTTCATTATTTATTTACAACCTACAATTCCAATTCTCAAGTTCCTACCTTTAAAAAAAATTGATACTTTCCAATAAACTTTCATCCCTGGTTTCCCCTCCCTTAAAATGTGAAAATCCAAAAACCCTGAAACACGTCATTATTAATTTGTACTCAGTAGCTGCAATTCCAATTTTCATGTTTCTAACTTTAAAGAGAACCAAAAACATGGATACTCCCAAATAAATTTTCACCCCCTATTTCCCCCCCTTAAAATGTGAAAATCACAAAAACCCTGAAACATGTCATTAATAATTTGTAGTCAGTAGCTGCAATTCCAATTTTCATGTTTCTAACTTCAAAGAGAACAAAAAAATCGATAGTCCCATACAAACTTTCACCCCCCGTTTCCCCCCTTAAAATGTGAAAATCTAAAAACCCTGAAACACGTCATTATTTATTTATGCTTAGTAGCTGTAATTTAAATTTACATGTTTCTAACTTTAAAGAACAAAGAATTTCATTAAAAGCTCCCTCCCCTCATTTCCTCCCATTTCCCCCCTTTAAAGTTAACATTTCCAAAAATCCTTTCTTAGCGGATGCTTACGTTATAAAATAAACCTATGTTCTAAATTTCAGCTTTCTAGGCTCAGTAGTTTTAACTGTACGTTGATAGGTCAGTCAGTCAGGACAAACAATTTTATATATATAGATTAGAAAAAATGATCATTGGATAAATTTACAATTGGTTTGTTGTATTTAAATTACATAATCCTTATTTTTTTATTCAATATTTTAGACAGTTTATACTGATGCCAGACATATTATTTGCATGTTAAAAACGTACACGTTTTAAAAAACGAATGCTCATCGAATGCCAGTCAAGAGAAGTGATTTTAAAAACTACTCGCTTTTCAACCACAGTTTGTTTTATTAGCGATTATCGAGGATAGCCGCCCTGGGCAAACAAAAATAAGGTATGGACAAACGATTACAGTGTTCAAATCAATTGCCATTAGGAGAACTTACTAATAATTGTTCATATTTTGAGTAATTTATTTTTTGTTAATAACTAATTTCCATTGGGTGGACAAACGATTGCCAGATTTATTTCGAATAAAATATATTAAGGTTGTCCCTAAGAACCAGGCGATTTTTTAATTTTTTTGAATATCTCGGTTTTGAGGGGTGACAAATGAAACTTTTGTTTGGACAAACGTAGACAAATCATGTACAATTGAATGACACTGTGAAATAAAAAGTTTTTATGGCGGTGCCGATGTTAAATTTGGCTCAATCTTTTAATTTTACTTTTTTTTGAAAAATACGCATTTGGCGGATCTTTATATTGTCCCTGTCCAGACAAAGTATCGTATGCGCCATTTAAGTAATTTTACAGGATACACAAAAAACTGTTTTTTTTTTGCTTTTTTGGAGATATATTATTAACGAATGATGTATTACTAGAGATAAGACATGATTTTAGGGCTAATTGTTAAAAACTGTACTTGTTGGGTTAAATAAAGGTAGTTTAGGATATTTTAAAAAGGCATTTTAAGGATTCCGTGAAGTTTAAGATATTTTTAATGTTGCTATGATTATTTAACTACAGACCTGCGTTAAAGACTGATGCTTGATGTATAAAATATCGTAAGCGACAGGCGCGTATGATAATTTACAGGAGTAAAAAAAAGGGTTGCGATATTTAATATCTTAAAATTGCCGCTAAAATTAACAACCTAAACAAAAAGTATATCATAAGCGACGCACACTGGGGCAACAAGCCATCAAAGTTGGCAATAAATCACAGACTTTCTTTATGAATTTGTAAGTTAAATATTGCTTTGTAGAGGTGTTAGTATTACAAATGAAAATACATAGAGGGCTTATAAAGTGTTTGTTTGCTAAAAAAATAGAAAGTTATTAAGAATATAATATAATAAAAATGTATATTCTATTCTTAATATCTTTCTATTTTTTTTTTAGCAAATAAACACTTTATAAGCCCTCTATGTATTTTCTTTTGTAATACTAACATATAATATAATAAAAATGTCATGAGCCTAATGAGGGCCTAAGTGCCGTGGGGGTAATCCACTTTCCACACGTTAAAGATACAGATAATAAAAATGTAATATAATAATTTCATTTAGAAAAGCTATGATAATTGTAATCAAATTTCATCCTCTTTAGAATGTGATAAGACATTTTCTTCAACGTCTCCACGGTCATCATCAGTGTCATGAATATACCATGGCTATGAAGCTGGACGAGTCCAGATTTAAACAAATCTACTGCTTCTTTAAGAAAGTGCTGCAGGTTCTTTCTTTTTTAATTTTCGTTTGCTCGTGATTACAAGGTCGAAACTAAGTAAAAACGAATTAAAGACATCCTCATTAGTTTTCTCTGTTAATTGGTCTCTAGGCAACAAAGCAGAAGATATTATTTCAGGCCCATGAATAAAATATTTGTGCAATGTCGGAGGCATATTGACCGTGGGTACTTTTCAACAAAGTATCTAACGGTGTTGTGGAGCAAATTCTATTAATTTCATTCTTTCCAGAACTTCTCATGATATTAAGAAGTTTCTTTCTCGATAAAAACATAGTGGTTGGAAAGTATATTTACATACCTACCAAATCAGATCCATTGAGTACAAATCGGTCAAAAACTAAAATAGCAGCGTTGCAAAGCATAATAATGTATAGCCTTCTATGAAAACATAAAAACCAGACAACTTTGATTGTCTATATCTTACGATTGAATGCACCAATCGTGCTCGGAGAGGTCTTAAAATAAAGAAAATAGGTTAGATATTTAACTTGTTATTAGGTTTTATATTTAATTTATTATTATTACGCAAAACGAGCTTAAAATGGGTTACTTTTAGGCTCGTTTTTTTTTTCTTCAATTAGGTCGGCCATCTTAAATTTTACATTTTTACCACTTTGTTATGTCTATCTGGGAGCATATTTAGTTGCCTATAAAATGAACCTAAGGACAATAAAATCGATTTATTAATAAACGAAATATATTAAAAAAACAGAATTCGTTTTTGATGATCGTCCCGCCATATATTTATATACTTTGAAAAAACCCAAATAGTGAAGAAAAGTGCGAATAAGTGCACAGAAACTAAACGATTTCGAAAAGTACAAACAATATTCATTATGAAAAGTCGAAATTTAAAGCTTGGACTGCTTTGGAACACAACAAATAGCCTTCATGTATTTAAGAATATTTTAAAATTTTAACGTTTAACCTTCATTTTACTTAACCCCAATATTATAAGATTACGTTTATTTTTCTACAACTTTTTACTTATTAAAATAATAATACATAGCTGAACTTAAAGGCTCCATGGCGGAAATTTAAAAAAAAAAAAAAATCAAAATACAGTCTAATCACAGTACAAAAACAAGTTAAAAACTACAAAAATAACAATGAATATATACTCGCCTCATATAAGTAACTTTGACTGAAGGTGGCGATGAAACGCGTGAGACAGAAGATCGCACTTGTTCGTTTTATTATGTAGTGGACAGTAATATATAAGAAAAAAATATGAGGTAGAGTGTATATGCTATTTAATTTTTGTATTTATTGCCAAGTTTGAGGGCTTGTTGCCCCAGTGCGACTGGTGGATACAATATTGATATTGAATATTGTCGACCTTAAGATGTTGCAATCTATGCAATTTTTAAAAGGTTTTAGAACTTTGGCTATAGAATAAAACGCAAGCGACATAAGCTTATGCTATTTTAAGAAGAACTTGTGGATACATAGTGCAAATTTTGATAATATTGTAGCTTGCGAAATTTTATGATTTGTGGGCATATACGATGGCAAACTTTTAAATCAAAATTGATGTTTTATGAATTTTGTGGCATTTTTTTTAAGTCGACGTAGCTCACTTAACTGATTCGGGCAACAACAAAATACCAGTTTTACCAAAAAAATGTTGCTTACGATACTTTGCCTGGACAGTGACGATATATGTTATATTTGTGACAATAACCCTGTAATTGAGTATTCCTGTTCTTTTATAAATTCTTCATAATTTTTAGGGCCCTCTTGTAGGAATACACGTTTGTAAATTAATGATAATATTGAACCATTTATATGATGACATTCCAAGGAAGTCTTTACTAAATCTAGTGACTCCTACTTTTGACTCTATACACGAATCATTGACAAAAAATGATCCCGTAATGCTCAGGTCAACAGTTGATTTTTTTTCAGACATGATTAAAAATGAAAATATAGGAATCTTCAAGGAATATAGTCATTATATTGAAAATGTAAATGATTTAATTCAGGTAAGTTTTAAAGTTAATATAACACAACATTCCCATATTTACCTAAAATAATTTGTTATTTAAAAATTACAGTTAATTAATTCAAGAAAAACATTAGATCCAGATGCCACTCCTCTTCCTCCCTATGATTTGGAATGTATGACACATATTTTAAAATTCATATATACCTTAGAATTATATAAATTGGCAGATTTATCTCCGATGTACCAAAAGATTTTAAAATTCACTTTAGAGTGGATAGCACCAGAGAAAACTTCTTATCAAGCCAATATTTTACTTACCACAATAACTCAAAATTTGTCAGAAACTGATGATAATAAAAAACTTTTAAATCTATTGGCATCTAAGTTACCAACGTTCTTGAGCATTCTTGAAAGTGCCTCTACTCCAGGTATGTGAATAATTATTATTTACTGATTTTTTTAGCAAATTCAGATTCCCAAAAGAAAATTAGTTTGACTTGATTTAAAAGCATCACTTGATTTTACAAAATAAAAATTGAAGTGAAACTACTTAATTAGGAATACAAGTAAAAATAAATTATTTTGTTTTATTAAATGTTCATTGAAAATAGAAGAAAACAGCATTGCACCTATTTTTTAATTTACTTGTGTTCGGATTATAGAAAGTTCAAAATTCCAATTTCCACAATTTTAAAAGCACTATTTTGAGCACGTTACTGGTTTAAATGGGCAAAACACAAATTTTTGACTCAAATAACTGACCATGTAGAAAGAAGACTAAGAAAGAATAAAAAACGACGCCGCTCAAAATTGATACACAAAACACAACCCTTGACCATAATAATCAGTGACAAAAAACAACTAGACTAATCCATTCATTCATAATTAAGCCCTTATTTATTGCAAGCATTCCATTTGTGTTTTATATCTGGCAAACAGCTGTCGTATCGGCTGCCGTATTAGAAAGAGCGAGATGGCCGTTAATTTGAGAGGGGATGGTTTGCGAGAATTTGTTTTTTCTGAGGTGCGAGCGCAGGTTTTATGAATGAATCAGTAATTACGGCTACGGCGCTTGCTTTATACTGCTGTTACACTTCAAAACAAATTACGTACTTTCCTGGAAATTCGCTTCAACTATGATACTTGCAACGAGAAAAGGACATTAAACTGATAATAACTGGCATTAAGAATGCAAATATACTTCCTTAATGTAATTTTGAAAGTCTTCTGTGCGTTTTAGAGCCTTATGTTATGTCAATTCTGAATTATAACTATAAGCAATCCTTGTAACAAGACTTTCACATAGTTACTCTACCACAATAATTTGACAATTACGTGGAAGACCCTGTGAAGGTTTGCAATTCGATTTTTGTAAACAAAATTAGTCTAGCAATTGTTAGTAATCCCAGCTCCGTGCCAAAACACAGCAGTGGTTAGTAGTAAGAGCGGGACAGGAGCAGAGTTTTTAGGGTGCTTTTAACAGCCAATCAAGCCTGTTGAACTGTCACTAATCAGAATAATTGAACGTTACAAGTCGATTGTAATAAAAAAAGCAAATGGAGTGATCGAGATTTAAACGACCGCGGCTAACAAATACAACAGTGTTGGTTCACAAATGACACGGCGTTTGTTACACTGAACAGACTTGCTGGCAGAATTTTGATTTTTAACAAACCAGTGACGTATTTGCATTATAATTTGTATAAATGCAGTAACTTTTTTTTGTTAAATCCAAAAACAATAATTAAAGTCTTGTAATTTCGAATATACCAGCTATTACTGCTTTATATTAAATTATGAAAATTTTAAGTTGAATAGGTACCTACCCATTAATTACTTTCCAGAAATTAAGCCAAATAAAAACTAAATACATTTATATTTTTTTTTGTTAGTTTGCATTGCACCTAGCTATATTTCAGCCAACCAGTAATTTGTCTTTATTATAAACTGAAGTAAACCTAAGAGGCGTAAAACTAAGAGTTCACACAATGGCATCTTCTCCTTTCTGTTCTGATAAACTAAACACTGCACACGCGTACTTTGCTCTGCTTTAACACACTTTTTCATCACTAATTCAAATGGTATGGATTGTCCAGAAACTGTAAAACTTCAATATTGACGTGATCAAGCAGTCTTTTTGTTTTTTTTGTGATAATTTTCCTCTCTTCTTCGACTGTAGGCATTCTCAGATCTCTGTGTTGGTCTGAGTTCATAACATACCAAGGGCCGTTTACTATTGCTCTTAATATTTTGTTCTGGAAACGTTATATTTATGTTAGTTTTACTGGCACATCCCAGAGCTGTATGCCGTAAGTCCATACTGGCTTTAGTACCTGTTTATTAAAAGTTTATTTTCCATAGAAAGTTTTGATTTTCTATTCATCGCCCAGTATAATTTTCTATATTTAATACCCAAGTCTTCCCGTTTTTTCTTTATATGTTCTTTCTACTTTAATTTAATATCTAGGTTCATGTATAGGTATTTCGCCTAATTAGAATATGGTATTCTAGTATTATTTAATGTCACTGGTAGGTATTCTACTGCTTCTTTTATTAGTGAAGTTAACCTGAACTGTTTTAGTTTCGTTGAGCTTAATGCGCCATTTTTTTGTCCACTCATAGATTTTATTAGTTGCATGTTGATGTTTTCTGGTCGATTCTTCTATGGTTGTGGCTACTTTCACATTTTGCGTTTGTGGTATGTCGGAGGTAAGCAACAGGTAAAGAACTGGCCCCAGAACACTTCCTTGAGGTACCCCAGCTTTAGTTTCTTTAAGCTTGGATTATTATTCTTCTTGTTTTACTCGGAAGATTCTATCAGTCAAGTAAGACTTTAATATGCCACAATATTGCCTAGGTAAAAGTTTATTTTATATTCAAGACCCTCTAACCATACTTTATCGAAAGCCTGAGCTACATCTAGAAAGTGTGAGGTGTAGATCTTTTCTTCCAGCGTTTTCTCTATTTCATTCATTATTCTGTGGACTTGATCAATAGTGGAATACTTATTCCTAAATCCAAATTAGTGGTCAGGTATATTTTTACTGTCTATCAGTGGTTTCAATATTTTTAGTAAAAGTTTTTCGAAAAGTTTAGATAACACTGGTAACAGGGACTATAGGACTTTACTTCATTTGGTGATTTTCCAGATTTGGGTATCATAATTTCAGCGACTTTCCAGATGCTAGGTACATGTTCTAGTCGAAATACAGCGATTATTATATTAGTGGGTTTAACCACAGCTTTTCTTGGCCATTGTTTTAGTATTTCACCTGTAATCAGATCATATCCGGGTGCTTTCTTAGAATTTATATTTACTTTGATTTCCTTAGCCACCTCTTTAGGCGTTACCCTAGTAATTTCTACTATGTTTGTGATATCAGATTTTTGTTTTGTTTATTTGATCTTGCCCAGTTTCCGTTGTCTTCTTTTATTGGTGGCATATGTACTATTGGACGTTTAAGTTTCTTAGTCGCTTCCCACATAGAGTAATCAGTATTTTTATTGTTCCTCAATTTTCTGAGATATGTGTCTATTGATTTATTTTTAATAGTGATTATTTCTCGTTTTAGTTGTTGTGTTAGTCTGTTGAGAACTACTTTATATTCAGGGAATCTGGTAATTTGCCATTTTTTTCTAGCTTTTCTTTTATTTATTAGTTCTCTTATTTCTCTAGGATATGAATTGCCTACGTTTTTTCTTGTGATTTCTGCTGTATTCTTCCATGACGATTGCTGTATGGCAATGATAAATTTTTCCAGCTTGTACTCTAGTTGTTCTTTTGTTCTTAGTAGTGCACTTAGTTCGATTCTGTTACTTAATTCAGTTTTAAAACTTAACCTGTTTCTTTTAATTATACAATTTTTTTGGATGTTTTCGCTTAGTATCATTATCACCGGGGAATGAGCTAAGTCAAAGTTTTCTTGTTTTAATAAAGTTTCCGGGTATTTTTTTAGTGATGTAGAAGTCCAGTAAGTCAGGTATTTTATTTCTGTCGCTTGGCCAATAGGTTGGTTTTCCTGTTGACTAGTATATTCACACCCAATTTCACTTGCAGGTGCATGCAATTTCCTACCTTTGGTGGTTGTTAATCTCGAGCCCCAGATGATATTTTTGGCATTAAAATCACCTGCCAAGATAACATTTTCTCCCATTTGTCGTAAGAGTTCTCTGCAATTTTATTTTTTTTTATTATTATTATGTCGTGGTGGGATATATACTGCTCCGACTGCGAAACTGTATTTATTCGTTTTTATGTTAACTGCTGGTACCTGTATTTCTTCTGTTCCTATTTTGTTCTCGTTATAATGGTTAATATTTTCTTTTATTATTACGGCGCTTCCACCTCTAGCGGTATCCGAGGGATGTATAGTACTAAAGACTTTGTATACTTTAAATTGTATATAGCTTTGTTTTGTTAAATTCGTTTCTGATATTAGACAGATATCTATATTTTTTCTATTAGGAATAGGTGTAGCTCTTCTTGATGGTCAAGAAGTCCATTGGCATTCCACGTTACAATGATTAAGTCTTTACACTCCATTTGGGATGTCTAGAAGTTCTTAATGATAGGTCGTCTAGTTTGGGTATTATTTCTATTGTGGTTAGTTTTGCTTACCTGGTCTCTTGTCTATTGTCAGGGGTCTAATATCAAAAGCAACAAACTCCAAATTTTCCGATTAAAGCTTTTTGTGTCGTACCGGTTTGGAATGTTTGTTTATTAAAATATCAGATCTTATTTTGTAACAAAGCAGAAATAAGTCGTTAAAACCATTCAGCAAAGTTGTAAGTTTGTATCAAAAATAGCAATCTCCAGATTTAACATAACAGAAGTAGCAAAGTCACTTTCAGCCAATAGCAAGTAGTTAAACCAGTATGGTAGCTGTAGTCAGTTTGTAACAACACGTGCATAGTTAATAACTGTTTTTAGTATATAATAACAAAATAATAAGAATTGTTTAATGAAAATTTATAAAATGGAGGTGTCTTGTCCTCGTGTAGATAAAAAACACGCAAGAAAGTGTGTTAGAAATGCCAAAAATTGGAAAGCTAATAAGGCGCAATGATTGAGATAAGCAACATTTTTTCCAGGACCGCAATTATTAAATCTATATTGACAATAAGAATCACATAAATTCCTACATTATGTACATTCAAATGCAAAGATAAGTCGTTTGTAGGGAAAATGGAATTTCACTATAACCTATTTGTAACTTTTTTTGTTTTTAAAATAATTTTTCTCATTTCCCAATAACCACATAAGCAAACGAAAAAAATAAGGTATGGTGAGATTCCATTTTTCATGAGCTTTTCAATGACTTACACCCAACATACCTTTGCATTTGAAAAAAAAAGTTGGGTAGGGTTGCAGCTAAAGGGCTGAAGAAAAAAATTTCATTTTATTGGCAACAAATACGTCCAATGTAAAATCAATTCACCTGTTTCAGCATTTTTTTTTTAAAGTTACTGGTTGGACAGTTAATAATTTTATTCCGGACTTTCAGGCAACTCTGTAAATATATTTATTCATATACAGTATCGGCTATTAAAAACCCTCTAATACAGTTTGCTAGTGTCGAAGTGAAAACTACGAAGACTTCGCATTAGTTCGAGAAGAAAACGAATAATATCAAGGTTGCCAACGGCCTGGCTGCGTTGAGATTGTGGGTATATCTGTCGTTGTGTGCCTATTCTTAATTCAAATCACACAGCACATAGCACAGACAGATAGTACAATACACACAGACGGTCAACGGTGCATACTCGAGAGTTATCCCCACGCAGCCAGGCGACCGTTTACTGGCAACGTTGTTATTTTAGTTTCTTCCTTGCACTAATAAACTAATAATAAAAAAGTTTCTCATTTGTGGTCAACTTTAAGGGACACATTCATAGGCGCGCCTTAACACGAGGACAAGCTCACTAGATTTCCGATTTTGGATTTTTCGCTATGGCTTTCGTCTATAGCCTGCGGCAATATGAACTTGCCTCCCAGCAATTTTTTGGTTGGCGCCCATGGACACATTTTTATTGACAATATTATGAAAAACATTTGTTTTTGGTTTCTGTTAATCACAGTATTAATTAGTGAGCAGAACTGTGTTTGTATTCAATACAGTCCTGTATGTTTTCTCACCCCAGTTTACTATCATAAACAGCAATCTCCTTTCATGAACAAATCATATAGCAAACTCCAACCTTAAATATCAAATACAGCAAACTCCAATATTTATAGCCAATTTAAAACATTATTCAAAATTCTACGGCGATTTTGACTACAATTTAATTTTATGTAACGTCCTAATATTTTTTAAATCGTTTTTGTTGTGTAGTGGAAAATTTATAAAAGTGGACTTTGCTACATTTGATATTAGACTGGTATATCTTTTGCCACTTCGCATCCTCTATAGCTTGCTGGATGTGCTTGATTGCAATTTGCGCATTTTGGTGGTATACTTGCCAACTTATCACACTCTCCTGTAAGATGGCTTTTGGCACATTTAACACACTGGTTGCCTATTACAAAAATGTTTAGTATGTCCATATCTTTGGCACCGTTTGCATTGGGGTATTAATTTTTGGCTTCTCACTGGCTTAATTTGGATTATGGGATTATTAAGTTTTGTAATGTGTTAATTTCGTAAATCCTTTTAATGTCTTCATCGTTTTCAAATGTTAACATGAATTGTGGTAATAGCTTTTTTATAGCAGTTCTGATAACTTGATTTCCTCTTTCTTCTTCTTTAGTTTCTCTCCTTTGGATATTTACCACATCCATGATTTTAAATCCACTGTGTTTTAATTCTTCAGTTATATCTTCTGGCTTGCAGGTAGGGTGTAGGTTTCTAGCCATCACTTTTATTGGTCTGGTTTGTTTCATCTCATAAATGCCATTGATATCCTTGGTTTGAGAGATCTGTTGTCATTGTTCTATATTCTTGTTCATCTTTTACGTTTAATTTGATTTCATCGTTGTTTAATATTGTAGCTACAAAATTATGTTGCTTACTATTAGTTTTTGTCTTAATTCTTCAAAGTTTTTGACCTGAGTTACTATTATTGGCGGTGCTAATTTTTGTTTTAGTTGTTCTTTTTGTGCAATCCTTTGTTGAGCGTTTTCATTTGGGTGGTTTAATTTTGCTTCTTTTTATACGTTTTATTGTTCTTTGGTCAGGGCCGTCGAGAGCCCCGGGCCCCAGGACAATTCTCTAGATCGGGCCTCTGAATTGAATTTTCTAAAAAAAAAGTCACGCAAAAAGTTTTCCTCCTCTACTTGAATTGAATTTTCTAAACAAACAAAAAAAACCAGCTCCCCAACCAAAAACTTCTCTCGTCTTGTATCGAATTTCCAAAAAATCCAGTTGCCGGGCCCCCCTTATGCCGCTGCCGGGCCCCCATTTGAGTCCGGGCCCCGGGAATCAGTCCCGGCTACCCCCCATCTAGTCGGCCCTGTCTTTGGTTGTGTTTTCAGGTGACACTCAAGAGATTGTCGTATTTTTCGTTTTTTGCTATTTCTTTTGCATCTTTGTACTATCCAAGCTGTTTCTTTATTGACTAGTTCTTCTTCTGAGTCTGTTTCGATGTGCTGTTTTTGTTGTTGTTTTTGCATACCTAACATCATTTCCATTTGTTGTATTCTTAATTGCATTCCCTGTATAGCTGATTCTTTCTTTAGGAGTATATATCTATATTTTTTGAATATTTTTTCCTCGTCATCGCTTACTGTTGTTTCCATATTAGTTTGCTTCTCCTGTATCTTGGCCTGATTTTTTGCGCTTCATAAGATTCGGTTTTGTTGATTTTCTTTACACATTTTAAAACTATTTTTATTGGCTGTTCTAAACATTATCTTTAGTAATCATCGTTTTTTTTTTGAACGATTACAATTTAGCACATATGTAAACATACGTGATTGATCTTGACCTAGATTCCGAACAGTCTTTTGAAATAATAAAATAATAATAATAAAAAAAAATAAAATAAATATGGTGTTGCATGTTACTATATAGTTCATTACTTTTTGTTATATCTATATTGTTGGTTATAGAATCTTAAAATTACGAGCAAAATTTTCTCAAATAGCCAAAACAAATGCATAACAATGCTTTCTTGTTTGTTCAGTATATTTAGCCTCACACTATCCACAATCTAAAATAGCATTACATTTTAGTTTACACAATAATTTTCAGTTAACATGGACGATTGCAAAAGATTAGCATCTTTGTTACAACTATTGAGGATGATGCTTAAATCGAGTTCCATATCCGAAAGCGTCTTAAATGCGCTGAAGCAAGAACTGCTGATGAGTATATTTTCGCCTGTTCTTTATGAAGACTTAAATACTGTGAATTTTCCGAGGCTGAAAGTAAATGAAGACAATACTACAACTACGTCCTATGTGGATGCTTACATTTATGCTGTGGGTTTAGTTTATGAAGTTGCTCAATACGATGCACGGTGGTTAGAAATGCTCAGTGTTTTGATGGACAGCAAGTATGTATATATACATGTGAAGGGCGTTTTTGAAATAAATGTACATATTAAAACAGGTATATGATGTCTAAAAACGAACGTCATTATTTTCACCGTATTCGCAAATTTAAATATTAGGAATATTCCTCTTTTTCAGTCATTATTCTTCGCTTCAAAGTGTCTAAAAATTAACAGAAACTGGATAGGGATTTATTGATTACATTTTACATAAACATAGTTGTGCTGCTGCTGGATGTGAAATTAAATTAAACTTACTCCAAATTGTAACAAAAGCTTGTTACTCTGAATGGACTTAAAAAACGCTCTGTTTTTAATCAAAAAGACGAAAATAACATAGGATACTCTTAAAAATAAAAATATTGGTACTAAAATAGCTGCTCTAAATGACTTCCCTCTATTAAAATCAAGATGCTTTGCCAATAACAGATCCACTATATTAACATTATATACAGGGTGGGTCAGCGGTAACCCCTCGGTCTGTAGAGTTAAAAGTATTTAATTTTTTAAAAATATGTTTTCAAAGCGAGATGTATATAAGAAAAGACAACAATTTAAAAATAATTTCAGTGATACATATCAAAGTTAGTTTTTTTTTAATGGGAGACCCTGTATTTTATTTTACATTTAAATTGCCCTCGTTTTTCCCATTATAACAATACAAAATAGTGTGAGATTCAGCATAGTATTGCCAAGTTTCATATGAAAATCGTATTGATTTTAATACTCTATTAACTACAAAAGAAACGATTGAAAACCAATTTTTTTGCTTTAAATGATTTTGGATATTAGTCAAAATTTTATGCCAATGCACTACTTTTTCAATTCAAAACAAATCTTTACATAGTAAGTCAAAACTCAAAAAATACATCTTTTTCATTTTTTTTTTATTGGCCGCCCTGTATTTTATATCGCCACTTAAAAGCACCTTATATAAAGTTTCATTTCAAGTCAAGTATTCCCCATACCTAAAGTTAATAATTTTGGGATATATTTAAATTTTAATAAAAAAAAAAAAATTTAGAAAACACTAACTGGTTATTGGTTAATAGGAAATAGACTGTTTGTTAATTAGTAATCCAAATTTAACCAGCTATAATTTATTATCGACTGAATAAGTTTTTGATAATTTTTAAAAGGACTTTAACATTATGTGAAAAATAAATATCAATAGCAACTAATCACAGACTCACTCCAATACAACTTTATTCTAAGTTTATTTTATTTTTAAGTTGACTTAGAAACCCCAATAATGAACAGTCAGCATTATTACTAATGTCATTTGTTTTGTTTTTAAAAAAATTAGCCAGTTTTTTAATATGACCTTCAGTCGTAAATAAGAAAAGTATTTTGAGTGTTACCTTTAGACCTAGATAATAGTTTTTGGAGGCCTTAGAAAAACTTTAATAATTAAATAAAATCTGTCAAAATAACACTTAATAAACTTAAAATAAATAGCCTGATCAAATGGTGGTTTTTCGGTAACATGAAAGCGGTAGAAAGTTTTTCAGCGGAGTTATATGTTTTTTTGCTGCCTCGTAGCAGTGCCGCTTCAGGTCGATAAACGCAAAAATCCTCGAAATTTTCGGAGTTTTTCTGGTTTTTCGCTCATATCATGGAAACGATGTATCGTACGGAAAAAGTCGTTCTATTCAAAGTTAAAAGCATAAAACTTTGCGTCAAAAAACCTCCCTAACTTTTAAATTAGACCGATTTATAAAGTCGCTATTGTAACCTGACAAACCGGGTCCTAACTTAGTTTTACAAATACTTATAACCTTTGCCTAAATTTCGTCTAGTAGATACCCACGAAGTGTTTTGTTTGAACCCCAAATTTACGCTTAGAGTTCCATGTAGCTGTAAGAGAGAGCGAAGAAAGTAAACACGAAAGTAGATCAAGAATAGTTTTATTTAACTATATTATTGGCACAAAATTTACATGAATAATGTCTGTTCTTTTGTTTATCATACACATGTGGCTTTTTCCATGTCTCATTTCTAACCGGAGGCATTTTGAGCTCCCCTGAGTGGTTTGAAATGTGAGGACAGTACTACAGCATATTTGTTATCCCCTTATCATTCACAATCATACACACTATGCTAATGGCATACCTGCATACGCATTGTCTGATATTCGGACGTGACGCGAAGAGTATGGCGAAAAATGATGGTAATTAAAACAATGATTAAGAAGTTTATACTTTTCGTGCGACACGCATTTTTCACGAATATCCCAATACCGTACTTAACGATTAGGTTCGACACTGCATATATAACAATAATTTGAACGGCAACAGAACACCTGATATAAAGGGGGATGCCCGTTAGGCCCACTATTGGGGTATCTTTTCTTAAGATCCATCCTAGCCTCTATCAGGCTTTTATATCCACAGACGTGAGAAAAAAACCATTTTTTAGGCCCTACTATTGAGGTTCTGCACGTACTATGGGTGGCTGAAGGCTCTTTTTCGGCGTTTTGCTCTTTTGCTCTAATTACCGACAAATCACGGCGATAAATGACAGCCCCGAGACCACACGCTGTAATCCCACAACAATCTAACCTCATTTTATAAAAGGATAACAAGTATACTATTTTTCCGTAACCCCAGAGATATCTATTACAACAATGTACAGAGGAACACATATATGTCTATTAAAATTAAATACAATACCTATAGTTATATTACTGTAACCCGCCTCTGTACATTCATACTTTGAAAGAAAAACTATGAAATCCCAACGTTTAAAAATAAGACATGAATTGGCCCCTTTTTTTATATTCTACAGAATAAAAGAAAATATTTCTTTACCGTAATTCGCTTAAAGATTCTTTGGACCCGATACTAATTTTGACAAATATTATAAAATTTCAGCATCTGTTAGGTTTCTAGATGAACGCAAAATACTACAATTTATAGCCCTCTTGAAAGCAGGTCGCCGAACTACCCAGGTCATAAAAAGGATTATGTACTTGATTTTTTAAAGCCATAAACCGGAAGGACTTAATTTATTAGCTCTTGAGGCTAGTTTACAATAATGGCATTTTTTTGACCGTAATTCTAATTATGAATGATTGCACCATGAAATAGAATAAAATGCAATGACAATGCAATGAAAAAAATACCCACATAACTTTACATTTATAATTTACCAAAATGTTATCCCTTGAAGAACGGTTCCCCTTTTTACACCTGTTTAATAGCAAAATGATACCTGTAATAAAACCATGCTGTTGTAATTCTCCGCCGACCGTAGACATAATTACTTTTATACAAAGAACACTAGGTAGGAGTGTGCGTCGAAAATGCTGATCTAGAAATACGTTCCAGAACGGCGTCTCCGCGATTAAAACCGATAATCGTAGCGTCTAATAGAAAATACGATTATCGCCAAAATCTAAAGCACGGGGAACCTCACAACAAAGAAAAAGATATCGTCGACAAAAGTAGAACGACAATCGCAATACCTTTAGTCGTTTTCCACGAGTTTTATACGGTTGAACCAGAGGTACTGAATAACTCGCTATTTCTTTATCCGGCGTCGTCACCATAGGTAACGGTTCACCAAGACAAGTCACGCAAAGAATCCAATAAACCTGAAATACAATCCTACAAAACCCTTAGAAGAGAGAAAAATTAAGCTCTTTTAAAACGTCCGTCTGTTTGGTCACCTGATAGGTAACACATAACTACCTTCTCGATATACAAATGTATAACGAAAGAAGTCACCTTAAAGGCAACGGTGTATAGCGCAACAGAAGTCGTTTCATACAGAAAATAATTTATCTACTCCCTCGATATCTTTTACTGCGTTTTCCAAATATAACAAAAAAAGCTGTCACCTTATAGTTAAACGGGATAAACCAATCAATATACTTGAAGAGTATATAGAAGGGAGTCACCTTATAGATAACTGAATCTTACACTTTTTTTGTCAACTGGACGTGAGAAAGGCAGGAAGAATTCTAACCCCGTTCTTACTTTTGGACTCCGTATTTATACTTTAATTTTCCCATTTAGTCAATGCATAAGACAGAGAAAGGTTGAGTAGCGGGCCTACTCAACTTTCACGTAACATAATACCCCGAAAAACAGCCCGAACAATATACGGCTCCCGGACCGCCCTCTGAGTTAGAATTTGCCTTCTAACAATTTACACTCGATGAACAAAAGACGTGCCAAATAGAAAGTGATTTATATATCCTCGAACAACGCAACAAACTATTTAAAGAAAAGAATAAAAATATATCAGACCCAGGGGTGTCGAGTTTCACTATCGTCAGTCGAAAAAAAGCCAATTTTTAGCAACTTTTGTGAAAACTGCAAGACACTCACTTTTAGAGATCTGTGATGTGAAAACAGCTACTCTACGTGAAAAACTCGTAGAACAAAAGTTGTAAAGTATCAAATTTTGCATTCAGTGAGCACCGAAATTTTAAATTTGGATTAATATAAATGCATATACTGATACCTGATCATTTCTCCATTTTCCCTCTAAACGCTTATATTCTGGGGTTCAATAATAACAACTCTGCGCTGTCAATATGAACCCCCCCACCTCTCAAACCCCTCCTCCCAATCCTAACTTTAAGTATCAACTCCCCCTTTCTCTCAAACTCCCTTCCCTCTATTTTTATTGCAAGTCTGACTTGAAGATTTATAAGTATTATGTTGATGTAATAAGAAGTAATAAGTACCCATTTAGAAAAAAAATATTTACTCATTTATTATATTTAGAGTTACAAGATAAAAGAAGTAACTTCTCATTATATTTTGAGGAAAAATCATGGGAAGACCAAATAGTCAGCTGGTAAGAAGAGCAAGTAAGTTGAAGTATAGTGTGAAGATGCTATGTAAAAAAATACCTGATAGCAATGTCCATTTTATTTGACTCTCCTTCGTTTGGTTGGGACTGTGGAAGGTCTGGGCGTAGGGTTTTCAATGGACGATGATGGTCCAGGCTCAGGCTCTTCAGCACTCGGAGTGACAGGATGGGATGGCGGTTCTTCAACTGAAAGCAATGTCATTGAGTTTGCGTGTTGTAAAATAACTCATAAATTCTGAAGTCTCACCTGCCTCTGACAGTCCAGCAAACGGAGGGTCGTCTTCTTGCTCATCAAGGTCTGTTCTTTCGTCCACGTTGGTACAGGAATCGGCACAGTTGATGCAGACTTGGGTGCAGAATAGACCTGCGCGCCTGCATCCACAACGCCTACTACAGTCCGTGCATGATATTTGCTGCATTAGTTTGCCAGGAGCCGGGGATTTCAGGGTGGTAAGTGGGATCAGACCATTATTGGTTGACTTCCAACCCCACAGCTTCGGATCCAAACTGTTGCCGAGCCACTGCTGCACTTGTAAATATACACGCAAACTATGCTGGTAGGCTGCAGCATCGGTGGGAGGGATAGATACAATATTGCTGGAAAATTTGAAGGCAGATATCACGTACTGCTTGTATCACAGCGCATTTAAGGAAGTTGTTAGATGGTTAGCCCCGTACAGGGCCACCAAAAATTTTTCTACAGCAGCAGCAATTGCCGTTGGCTGGGCTGACGGATTCAAGAATTTCCCAATGGTCTTTTCAAGGTCTGGATATTTAGAGAGTCTTCAAAAATTTAGTCTTGCCTTGGTTATATAAAGATGACGTCGAGTCGCATCCACTCATCGCGTGCAGAAACATCATGTGCTTGGCAAGATTTTGTTGCACTGCAGACTGTGGTTGGTACAGCAACTGAGGCGCTTTTCCTTTCCGTGCCTTCAGCAGAAGTGTTGAGACCCATCATTATCACCAGCAGATCTACACTGGCGAGCAAAAAATTGAGGTCACCTTAAAATTTTCATGTTCTTTGAAATTTTACGTTTTCAGATCGTATTCGCAAACTGTACATCATTGCATGTGCTTTTGTAAGCTGAATGTGATGCTCTATACTAAACAGAAATGCATTTTTTTCTAATACTATTATGTCCTTATCAATATTGACGCTAAAATTATTCGCAATTTCTGAAGTGACCTGAAGTTTTTGCTCGCCAGTTTATATCTTCCCCCACAATCGCAACAGTTTGATGAGTTGGGGCCAAGGATTCGGCCGTCCGAACAATCAGTGACTCCGCATCCTCGTTTGCTTGTCTACAGGCAATTCCAGCTTCTTCACACTTTGCGATTAGCATGGTGATTAAGCGACTTTTGTTTTCGGCATTACACAGAAACTTTTCTTGAGACACCGTCGGTATCATTGTGTGGCTGAATTGTATTTCCACTGAGTGTTTCTTGGTTGATCTCCTCAACCGCTCCATGGATTTTGTGAGTTTATTGCAGTTTACACAAAAGTTTGCGAAACTCCTTCATATTGGTCAAATAAGCGCTTAGAGAGAAAATAAAGAAATGATCAGTATATGCGTATATACTGATCCAAATTTAAAATTTCGATGCTCAGAACGCAAAATTTTATGCTTTACAACTTTTGTTCTACGAGTTTTTCACGTAGAGTGGCTGTTTTCACGTCACATACGTCTAAAAGTAGGTATTAAGTTTTCGGTTGCTATTTTTATTTATTTTTCTACTGAATCTAATAAATTATAGCTGCTTGAAATCCAATTACCAATTAACCAGTAACCAGTTAAAATTATTAAAGTTTTTTTGTGAATTATCTTTTTTCTCATTAAAATTTAAAAATCTCCCAAAATTATTAACTTTAGGTAGATATGGAAAATGCGTGACTCAAATGAAACTTTATTTAAGGTACTTTTAACTGGCAAAAATGATGTATTTGAGTTTTTCGGAACTTAACAGGTATTTTTGAAAATAATATATTCACACATTTGAGTAAAGTTCAAATATTAACCAGTTTTAATATGTACTTGTATTTCAAAAATATCCTTTGTGTAAGATATTTAGTACGATTTATTGATATATTTAATAATAGTAAATATTTAAAAGGAAAATAATTCCAAACTCAAATGTGAACACGTCAAATTGAGAAAACACGAAAATCTACAAGCCATGTGTGATAAAATAATAATTTAATTAATACCGCGACAGACATTGGTTGTATCGAAAGAAAAACAGCGTATATAGATAATTATTTTCAACACTTTACCGGTTTCGTCCCTATTAGGAATCGTCATCAAACAATACACATTTTAATTTCGCTCAACTTGCTTACTGACGGGCTCTAAAAAGTGGCGAAATCGGACCAAGAATGATATTCTCCTTAGTTTTTCTTTTGATATAATCCAATGCCTGTTGGGGTATTAGCTAAAGGAGTAGTTGTTTTTTGATAGGAAGCGGTCGTTTGTATTATTTTGTGCCACATGGCTTGGAGATTTTCTTGTTATCTTTACTTTAGTATGTTATTTGAAAGTCAAATACGCTGTTTTATATACAACTATTTATTTTATTTAAAATATATATTAATTGATCAACTTGACGTTTTAAAATATGCGTATTAATTTCAATCCAATAATTTTTAATCTTGGTTCAATCAACTGAAAATAAAAAAATACATATACATAAAAGTAAAAATCTAGTAAAAAACAAAATACGTGATCGTAGGAACATACAAACATTATTGGCGTTGGCACTCTCAGGAAGTAACTGTAAGGTGAAGCAACTGGTGTTAGAATTGTCTAAAAACTCGAGGTTTCCTATTGAAAAGGTGGCTGCTTCAATGGAGGTACAACAAAATATGTTTATCAGTAATACGAATCATATCTGTAACCAATCTAATGCTCAGACTTCGTTTAATCCTCCAATCTATCCAGTTTTGGGTTATAGCCAAATCGAGATGTTTGATGACGTCCTCAAGAGTTTAAAGGTAAATTTAAATAAGAGTAATATCAAAGAATGACGTGTCTTATTTATTTATTCAATAAATGTTCTTTACAGGTAAAAAGTAAACGTCCAAATTAATCCAATTAAAATAATATTTTAAGTATCAAGCACTGAATATAAAATCTAAAGTACATCTGAAGATTATTCGGTTTAAGCCCATTAAATAATTCGTTTTCATAAGATTATTTATTATATTTTTTGCACTATTGTTATAGTCACATTTCTTAATACTATTTTTTGTTAAAGGAAAAATTATTTCTAAAACATATAGGAATGACAGCAATCAAGTTTTAATGCTAATAAATAGGATAAGCTACGAAGCAAAATAAAATATCGCTGATTTTTTCTACAAAAAAAAAAAAAAAAATGAAAATTGTATAAAAATAACACCTATAGTTTTGTGTCATATATTATCAGTTTTAACAACTGTATCAATAAAATAACAAAAAACTGTAAGCTTGCCGTTATTTTACTAAGTTACTAAAATTCTAATAGTTTGACTTTATTTTGCTTGAATTTAAATAATTTAACTTTAAATCGCTTGAATTCAAGTAACTGTCCTTAGAGTCGCTAGAATTAAAGTAAATTGAATTCAAATCGCTTGAATTAAAGTAATTTGACTTCAAATCGCTTGAATTCAAGTGCCTTGATTTTATTCAAGCTCGTGCTGACTTTATTTTGCTTGAATTTTATTAATTTAACTTCAAATCGTTTGAATACAAGTAATTTGACCTAAAATCGCTTGAATTCAAGTAATTTTCCTTAGAGTCGCTAGAATTAAAGTAAATTTAACTCAAATCGCTTGAATTAAAGTAATTTGACTTTAAATCGCTTGAATTCAAGTGTCTTGATTTTATTCAAGCTCGTGCTGACTTTATTTTGCTTGAATTTTATTAATTTAACTTCAAATCGTTTGAATACAAGTAATTTGACCTAAAATCGCTTGAATTAAAGTATTTTGATTTCAAATCGCTTGAATTCAAGTATCAATTCAAACCTTTATTAATCCATTAATGTTATTGGACACGTCAGAATTATAAATATAAAGATGCGTATGTATACAATAGATAAAAGTAATTAAATAAAACAATACAAACATAGAAGAGAAAAACGTAAAAAATGGAAGGCAAAAATAGACGTTTGTATAAATTTATTATCCAGAACAGTTTGTTGGTACAGCATGTGGTACACATTTTTCTTGACTTTATTCAAGCTCGTGCTAATATTTTAACAGCTCAAGTTAAAGCAAGTAAGTCAAGTAACATGATTAATGAGAACTAGGCTTGACGGGAAAGTTAATCTCTGTTCGTGACTGCTTACTTTCTTATTCAGTATGAAGTATAAGTAAAGGTGGAATATTTAATTCCTATCAGAAATAATTTTGTTATTTAAATGAACCTTCTGTAATGAGTTATTTGCCATTGATTGGCCTGCACGTTCGCCAGTTATTATTCCTTTTTTTTAGAGATCAGTTCAAGAGCAGAATATTACCAACGAATCTTTTGGTCAGGTAATGGAGTTATATGAATACAAAATGGCATCCATGTCGCACGCAGAACTATCCGCAGCAAATGCTCTGAAAGCCTCAAATGATAGGTGTATCAACTTGGAACATCGTCTGGCTCAGTTATCAGCCGAACACAATAAATTCGGGCAAGTTATACAACATTACGAGAAGAAGCTGGAGAAGGGCGAAAAGGCCATGACCAATTTAAAAACTTACTTTATGGACGATAGTAAAAAGTATGAAACGGAAATAGGTATGCATTTTTAGAGTGTGAGGGAAAGGGTCATTACAGGTATTAATGAAGTCGTAATTTTCCTTCAACTCAGTTTGACCTCAAATCACTTGAGTTCAAGTAAATTTCGTTCAAGTATTTTGACCTAAAATTGCTTGAATTCAAATATTTTGACCTAAAATTGCTTAAATTCTAATAATTTAACTTGAGATCGCTAGAATTTATGTAATTTTATATTAAATCGATTGAATTCAAGTATCTTGACTTTATTCAAGCTCATGTTTACATGTTAACCCAATTAAAACAAGTAAATCAAGTAAAGTGACGAATAAGAAGTACGACTGGACTGGAAAATTCATCGTCAGTTCACTGTATCTGGTTACTTTTTAATTCACTATAAAGTAGATGTTGAAATAAAGTTATTAAAATTGGACTTTTATCGTTTAGTAATTACGAGGATGTATCAGAAAATAACGAGACTGGTGCTATAGTATAACAACGAAACATTTATTTTAAAAAATTCAACAACTATCCTTCGAAGTACTCTCCATTCTGTTGAATACACTTATTCTATCGCTTTATCCACTTATCATAAACTTCTGAGAAACCATTTTTTGATAGTCTGTTTAGTATACCCATCACAGCGTTGTTGAGCTCTAAATCCGACTCAAATCTTCTACCTCTCAATTCTTTTTTGACTTCAGGAAACAAATGGAAGTCACATGGAGCAAGGTCAGGAGAGTAGGGGGGATGAACCATAATTGTCGTGATGCAGCGTCCAGCCAAAGTCCTGATAAAGCGGCCTTTTTTTCTTTAATATTGCCTTTAAGGGTCCTCGAAGTACATTAGAATAGTACTCCCCTGTTACTGTATGTCCTCTAGGTACAATGTGATCGTAAATAACGCCAAATTTATCCAAAAAAAATCAGGTGCATCACTTTACCAGCGCTTTTAGCAGTTTTGGCCTTCTGCGGTCTTGGGCTGCCTTTATGCTTCCATTGCATACTTTGAGACTTCAATTCAGGATCGTAATGATAAAACCAACTTTCGTCACATGTAACCACATTATTTAAAAACTGTGGGTTACGTTGCAATTGCCTTTTCTACTGCTGACAAATTGTCACTCGATTCGCTTTTTGTTCATCGGTCATCACTTTTGGAATCCATCTTGCCGCGATCTTCCGGAACTCTAAATCTTCATGAATAATTTTTTGAGTGGTACCGTAAGACAAATTAACATTGTCATAAATTCGTTTTATGCCAATCCGGCGATCATTTTGTATCAAGTCGTTAATTTCTGCAATTTTTGCATCTTCAACTGATTCACAACCGTCTTTAAACTTTTTATGCCACTCAAACACTCTACATCGTGATAAACTATTATCTAGATATGCACCTTTAATCATTTCAAAAGTATCAGTTGGTGTTTTACCCAATCGAACACAAAATTTTATTGCGTATCTTTGCTCCACTTTCATTTTTCGATGGGTACGCAAAACACTGACAATTCAATAATTAATTTGTAACAAATGTCAAAAGTTAAATCAAAGCCTACTTGCGGGGTAGTACATTAAATATAAGGCTTTCATGTCTCATTTTTTGGGTTATAAAATGTTACCTCTGAAAGAAGTTATAGCACCAGTCTCGTTATATACTGATATATCCTCGTATTTAGTTATTTATTGTGCTCCTTACATACAGATAAACTCTAAAAAATTCGGAGCATAGCAAATTCTATTAGCAAGTCGACCAGTACAAATTTCAACCTATGAAGATGAGTTGCGACATCTAAGAGTAAATTGGGCCGCATCAGTACCGCTATCCCACCATTAAAGTATTGCCCCACCTAAGGTGGTGGGATTTTCGCTCAGCAACTCGGATCACAAATCGCGCGTTCAGACTTCAGACTCACACGTTGGCCTACACAGCAAACTACGTAGGTTTTAAAGTCCGTATCTGTTATAATTAAAATAAAATAAAATGTACACAGTGGAAGAAACATTCAAATTATAAGTTGGTATTTTGGAGGTCACTCGACTAGAGAAATAGTGAATTTATTTATTGTTGCGTTTGAGGATAGGCCAGCTCCGTCACATTCCACAGTTGAAAGAATTATTCAAAAATTTCGGAAACGTGGATGTGTACAAAATTGTCACAAATGTAACAATGTCGATGAACCACGTATTCGACAGATTAGCGAACAAAGGCTTAATAAAGAAACAAATGTGTGTGCTATTGTTGAAGCCAGTCAACTATGTTCTAGCAGGAAAATTGCTGAAGAAGTTGACATGCACCCAAATACTGTAAGAAAAATTTTGAAAAGGAATGGTTACCGTTGCTATAAAGTCCAAACGACTCGAGAGCTTTTTCCCGAGGGCACAGTATCAAACGAATGGAGTTTTGTGAAGAAATGATGGGAAAACAAAATCAAAATTTTTTAAATAATATTTTATTTACGGATGAGTCAACATTTTCCCTTCATAGCAAGCACAATTCATCTGTCGTTCGTTATTGGTCTCGGGAAAATAAACACCTATCTATTCCTGTTCGGACACAATATCCGCAAAAACTTAATGTTTGGTCGGGGATATTAGGTGACCATGTTATAGGTTCCTTTTTTTATTGAGGGTAACATAAACGGCACCAAATATCTGCAACTATTACGAACCCAAATTATTCCTGCACTTCAGCAACTCCCTGTTAATTTTGGAGATATTTGGTTTCAACAGGAGGGTTGTCCAAGCCATAATAGTCGGGCAGTTATCGAATTTCTGCGCACAATGTTCCCTGATCGTTTAATAGCAACAAATGGTACAATCAAGTGGCCTCCGAGATCACCAGACTTATCGCCGAATTATTTTTTCTTTTGGGACTTTTTAAAAGGAAAAATTTACCGGCACGGTTTTGAACGGGCAACAATTTAAATGAATTAAGAGCGAAAATAATTCAATATTGTGCCAACATTACGCCAACTCAATTATGAGATACACGTTTATCGTTGTACAATAGGTTCGGCTATTGTTTGGCATAACAAGGGGGATTCTTTGAGCCTTTAATTCATTAATAATTTTAGAATGTTTTTTTTTTGGAGTTTTCATGTTAAGTTTATTCTGGAATTAAGTTTTATTTTTTAGGAATTTTATTTTGTTTTTTAAGAAATTTCTTTTATTTTTTGGAATTTAATTTTATTTTCAACGTCGTTACGGCAAGAAGACAGCACAAACACAATTTGGAAAGAAAAATTATTTGTTTAAAAAAATTAACAAATAATTTTTAGCATCAACACAATAAAACGTAATAATTTCTGTCGTTACATACAAGTTTTAAGTACACCCTACCATTATCAATGCAATATTAAAATCACTCTGTTTGTTTTACCTAATGTTTTCGCTTAGAAGCAGAAGGTGAAATGGGCGGACCGTTCAGGGGTTAGACAAGGAGCAAATCTTTAATGGTGGGAGAGCGTTACTGCGGCCCAATTTATTCTTAGATGTCGTAACTAAGCTTCATCGGTTGAAATTTGTACTGGTCGACTTGCTAATAGAAATTGCTATGCTCCGAATTTTTTAGAGTTTATCTATATAAATAAAAAATCTTTTCAGCCAAAAGGGATAAATTAATATCCGAAATTGAAAAAAGACTGGAGGACTATAAGACTGAACTCTCACAAATCACTGATCAAAAACATAGTTTAGAGGAGCAGCTGACAAAATGTGAAAACCTTATTAAAAAATTGGAAGAAACCGGAAACAAAGTGGAAAAAAAATTGGAAACGAGAGAGCAACAATTGAAAAACGCCAATTTGCATATTGATGGATTAAATGTGGTAAGCATTTGTGCTAGTTCAAACAGATTTTGTAAAGAAAAGTATACAGAATTACAAATTAATATTTTTTACTTCTTGTGCATGTAAAAATCTTAAGGTTTTATTACAATTTATACTTTATTCCAGCAAATAAAAGACTTGAGAAAAATGTTGGACCAAAAAGAATCCAAATTGGCGGAATTGACCAAAAATTATCTAGCTACAAAGGAAATATTGGGAACGATAACTAAGATGGCGGCATCGCAAAATAACATGGCGTGACCTGATAGGATAGTTTTAAACTTTTTTTTTTATAAAATTGACTCTCTATAATTATTAGGAAAGGGGCCGTTCAAGTATTACGTAAGCAAACTTTCAATGATCTTTAGGTCCAAAAATAAGAAAATCGTAAACCCCCTCACCTATATGATAAGATGTAAGATTGTATATGTGCGCTTACGTAATACTTGTACGCTCCGCACATATAAAACTGTGATGTATTTTTATAAGCATGTAATTTTAACAGTATTTTTTTTATATTGATTCGAATATTTTGCTTTCGTTGCCGGCGACATCAAAACTTTACCAAACGTCCATGACTTTATAGTTTCCTTCTCATTAATCAAGACATTAGAATTCTACTAGTTTGACACCAAGTCACTTGAATGAATGTAATTTTCCTCCAACTCACCCTAATAACCAGATTAAGTCAAAATAACATCAATTGATCAAAATGACGTCGATAACTGAACTCAAAATGGCGTCTGTTAGAGATGAAAAAGTCATAGCCTAATGACGTCACATCTTTATTTCGTCACCGAATGACGTCTTTATTTCGTCACCAAGTAACGTCATTATTTCTTCAATAGTGGACGTTACGTCTTTCGTCCAAAGGACGTCATTTAACTGTTTTAAAAGTTATTTTAATTAGCAGATTTTTTATAAATTATGAGAATGGAAAAATAACTATTATCAATATTATACATTTTGTTTTTTGAAAACAATTTCAATCTTTTTTTGTATTATTAATGTTCTGTGCTCCAATAAAGACATAATCTTTTTGTTCTGCTCCTGCAGAACTACAACCTACAACACATTGTAGTAAAGTCTTATAACCTTAAAAATAAACAATACTGTAAAATTAAGACAATTTTTTATTAATAACCCATTTAATTTACCAGCTACAACTATTTTTTTGGTGTTTCCACTTCATAAAAGCTTAGAGGTCGATTGGGAATTGAGAATATGTTGAACTAGAAACTTGGAGCTTGATTCTGAATTAAAAATGTTAACTTGAACAGCTTGGAGTTTGACTTTCAGTTACTGCTGAATCTTTTTGGTAACTACTTGCTAATTGAACGATTGAACTAAATTCTTTTAGAAATTAAAGAAAACATGCATCAACAATATTAAAAAGTCAAAAAAAAAAACAATATATGAATATTATTTATATAATTCAAAAAACTAGTTTATAAATACCATTGTAATAAACTATCAAAATTAATTTTAAACAAATTATAACAATAGTCTAATTTATTTATAGTTTATTTATTTAAAATACACTATTTACAATTTATTTATGACGTTCAATTTAATTTATATAATACTTAGACACTAACTAACAATTCTAATTTATTTATTACACTTTAACTTTACATTCCAATATTCTCAACTAAACTGTGCGCCGATGAGTCGGCTATTTATACCAAGCCAATTCTGTGCTCGTCGTTTCTGGTCGCTCCCGAAAATTCCATCTCTATGACTCAACGGCAGTTTCTCGAAGCGTCAGCGGCATACCTAGAAGATTTCGTCGTTTCTTGTATATTCGAGACGCGGTCCGATTGTTTTCACACGTCAGCGTTGCTTCGATCATGAATCGAGTAGCAGACTTCCAAGGTCGCGCGTACACATGGTAGGCTTTAGGAATTTCATGACAATATTAAAAAATAGGTAATCGGATGTAAAAAATGAGGAAATTACTTTTTTTATTTTAGGTAAGTTCTACAGTGGCAAACATGATTGTTTTTAACAAATTATAGTATTATTGTTTTAGGGTTTGAATGTGCCAGACAAACGGTGGTCAGTAATTGCAACAACAGCCGTGTGAAAACAAAATTAGATAACCCAGATATAATTTATCATGATTTTCCATTGGGAAAAGATTTTGTTTCACATGAAATAAAACAAGAGTGGATTCGGAGGTGCTGTAGAGCCGATAAGTGGAATCCCACAAGTCAGATTTGTTCTGTCCATTTTATCGGCAATGCAAAGAGATCTTCATAATGAATTATTGAGTCATTGGGTTTGCCAGTGAGGAGGCGATTAAAGAAAACTATACTTTTAATTCTTAGGAATAATATGAAAGTGAAGATAAAACTTTAAAAAAGAAATAACGGGAAAGTTGAATCTTAAAAAGAGAACAGAAAAATAGGGTGGATGATTGTTTAATAAGAATATACTAAAATTTCCACAGTTAGAGATTAATGAAAGCAGCACAATTGAAAGCAAAAACAGGGTCGTTGAAAGTGATAACCGCGAGCAAAAATATAATAACCTTAAAGATGATTTTAAAATTATAAAAAAAGAAAAGGCTAATATGTTTACATAAGTAAAGCAATGATTTTTTTATAAAAGCAAATATCGGAGAATATTGAAACAAAACAAGAAAAATGTTTTTACTAAAAACCAAATAGACTTTGATAATGAAAAAAAAAAAAAACGTGTTAACTGGACATTTGAAGAAGATGCAGATATTAGAGCTAAAAGGCATAACTGTATGTAAAACAGCAATTATACTGCCTGCTTGTACCTTATGTCTCTTCCTCCTCTTTACTTCAGACCCAGAGATCCTCTTGCCTCTCCGGGGCCTGTTAGAGGTGAACTACGGTGTCCATTCTCCTTTTTTGGAGGTGAGTGTCGCTGTCCAGCCTCCTAGGCGGGAGCTGAACTTTGTCGTCCAGTATCCTTTGCAGGAGGTGAGCGTTGACGTCCATCCCCTTTTTTAGAAATAATCGTCGCTGTCCAGCCTCCTGAGTAGGAGTTGAACTTGGTTGTCCAATCTCCTTTGCTGGAGGTAAGCGTTGACGTCCAGCCTCTTTGGGTTTTTGTATAATAGAATCCTTATGGTCCCCACGAGTAGCTAGGGAAGGAAAGGTCGACCGACGCAGAGCCCCGCATGCTCCAGCAAGGTTAGATACAAGAGGGTGTCGCCAGGTTCCCTCAGGGGAGCGTTTGATGCCGCATCTGTCCCTGCGACAATTCATTCGTCGGCACGTTACCTTATACCTTGGATTAGGAGAAATGCTCAGTTGGCACTCAACCGCTGAGAACCTTGTGTGTAATTCAAGCGAAAAGCTATTTGCCGCTCCGCTAGCGCGTCGCTCAGCCAATCTCTAGCGGTAAAGTATCACTTTTCGCTCTTAATACACAAATAGCTATTTTGTTTCAGAATGGAGGAATATTTGTAAATTTATTATTATCGTCTTAACGCGGTTTGTTAGATACTATTTTCTTGTAATTAATTTTTGGAAATTTACTTACCCACTTAAATAATTAATTACTTAAAAGCCAGCAAGTGTAGAACTGCAATATCTTGCATTCGAACAATTCATGAACAAGTACGATCAATGAACTGATCAAGAAAATGCTTGGAATATTTAACGCTGAATTGGGATGTTACGGTACCCAATTTCCTATGCCTGTTGACAAACTGCAGCTACGCGTTTCATTATTCAGGATTTTTCGGAATATCGTATAAAATTGTGTCATTCCAATAGGTGAGCCCAAAATTTGATAGATATTTTTTGCATTTTTAAAAGCATACTTTACACATTTTTTTAAAACACTCGAAAGTCGCTCAAACAAATTTAATTATAATGATACACGGGACACTAGAAATCCCACTAATATATAAATGCGAAAGTTTGTATGGATGATGTATGGATGTTTGTTGCTCAATCACGTCAGAACGGCTGAAAGGATCTGGATGAAATTTGGTTCCAAGATAGGAATAGTACATAGGCTATTTTTTATCCCGGAAAATGTACGGTTCCCGTGGTATAGATTCGTTTTTGTTTTTCAGAGCAAGGAATCAGCATAATTTTTTGCATAGTGGTAGTGAAACATGAAAATTTGAAATACCGTTACTGAGCATAAATGATGAAGTGTTTCAGGGTTTTTGAAATTTTCACATTTGGAGGGGGGGGGGGGGGAAATTAGGGTTGAAAGTTTGTATGGAAGTATTGATTTTTTTAAATGTAGGGACTTGAAAATTGGGATTAAAATAAATAAAGGCATGTCTCAGGGTCTTTAAGAGCGGAAAGGGGAAAAGGAAGGAGGGGTGACAGTTTGTATGGGGTATCGATTTTTTAAAGAGGTAGAAACTTGCAACTTAGAATTGTAGCTACCCAGACAACACACCAAATCCCAGAGATATCCACAGAATATCTTTTGTAACGAATTAACATAGTACCCGCAGCCAAGGAAAACGTAAACCTAATGACACATACACATACATTATATTGGCGCCGCAATTTCAACTGAAATTTTCTTTCTGAAAAAAAAAAAGATGCTCTGTTCTAGAATTCCTCAAAAAGTGAAACTATATTTTAAGTCAAGCTATACAAAATTATATTTTAAGTCAAGCTATACAAAACAAAAATGAAGTCTGAAAAAACCTTTTGTACAGAGTGTCACTTATACAATGTATAATTTAAAAGGGCTGGATCTGTGTATACAGTATATCCCCCTATAAGTTGTAATCATATGGAAAACTTTTTTATTATTAATTTTAGGAAAAAAAGTTATTCTTCATAAAAAGTTATGCATTATCTAAAACCTAGAATACAGCCATCAAATATCAAATTTTTACAGTGCTATAGGAGGTTTTTCAAAAAATATGAGTTTTACTCAAGAGTAAAGTACCTTTATTCTTTATACGACTGATAAAATTTGATATTTGCTGGTTGTATTTTAGGTTTTAGACCATGCTCGACTTTTTATAAAGAACAATTTTTTTTCCTAAAATTGGTAATAAAAAAAGATTTTCATATGTCGCCCATTTACGTAGACAAATGTCATCGGTGGGGGAAGCAGCTATAGATTTTTAAGTATGTAACAAAATACTGTTGCATGGACATACTCGAGCGCGTCAGATATTGATAGCATCAATGTTCTACGTATTTTTAATAATGTACGTATGTTAATCTGATCGTTTGCATGATGCGGGTGGTTGCACGTAAGGGTTGAAAATGAAAAAAAAAAAAAAAATTTTATCGAGCGCGTCAGATTTTCTAAGGGGGTGTTAAGTGAACCAAAAAAAGCTCTCATTCAATAGTCAGACGATTTCGATGTGACGCAAACTCGTGGCCATTATTATAATGTGCAAAAAAAATTCGCTATTTTGAAATACTGAAGCGCGTCATATTAAGATATATATGGTTCATCTTTATGTCCTAGACGTCTCATAATCTGACGATTATCTAAAGGGATTCGCCTAATCTGACAAAAAAAAATTTTTTTTAAATCATTGGACTCAATTAATTGGAAAGCTCAGGAAATAGCATGCAAATAAAAAAGTGTATGTTTTTTTAAATAGAATACTGTAACCTACCGCACCCAGGTACCTTAATAATTT